ATGGTGAGATTTCCTCCAGTAGTTTGTGTCTCTGCCCCTCCCACAAGGGTGAGATTTCCTCCAGTAGTTTGTGTCTCTGCCCCTCCCACAAGGGTGAGATTTCCTCCAGTAGTTTGTGTCTCTGCCCCTCCCACACGGGTGAGATTTATCCCTCCCTAGTTTGAGCCTTGGGGGACCCCTACAGAAGGAGGAAGAGGAGTTAGAGGGAACAGGGTCCAGAGGCAGACGGTGAAGGATCAGGGTCCAGGGGCAGATGGTGAGGGATCAGCGTCCAGAGGCAGACGGTGAAGGATCAGGGTCCAGAGGCAGACGGTGAGGGATCAGGGTTCAGGGGGCAGATGGTGAGGGATCAGGGTTCAGGGTGCAGATGGTGAGGGATCAGGATCCAGGGGAAGATGGTGAGGGATCAGGGTTCAGGGGGCAGACGGTGAGGGATCAGGGTTCAGGGGGCAGATGGTGAGGGATCAGGGTCCAGGGACAGATGGTGAGGGAACCTGGGTCCAGGCGGCAGATGGTGAGGGATCAGGGTCCAGGGGCAGATGGTGAGGGAACGGGGTCCAGGCGGCAGATGGTGAAGGATCAGGGTTCAGGGGCAGACGGTGAAGGATCAGGGTCCAGGGGCAGATGGGGAGGGATCAGGATCCAGGGGAAGATGGTGAGGGATCAGGATCCAGGGGCAGATGGTGAGGGATCCGGGTCCAGGGGCAGATGGTGAGGGATCAGGGTCCAGGGGCAGATGGGGAGGGATCAGGATCCAGGGGAAGATGGTGAGGGATCAGGATCCAGGGGAAGATGGTGAGGGATCAGGGTCCAGGGGCAGATGGTGAGGGATCCGGGTCCAGGAGCAGATGGTGAGGGATCAGGATCCAGGGGAAGATGGTGAAGGATCAGGGTCCAGGGGCAGATGGTGAGGGATCAGGGTCCAGGGGCAGAGGGTGAGGGATCAGGGGTCAGGGTGCAGATGGTGAGGGATCAGGGTCCAGGGACAGATGGTGAGGGAAATATATAGATATATATATAACCTTAAAGAGAACCTGTCATTGCACTATATAGGGGGCAACATTGAGTCCAACCAAACTCACATTCACTGATCCCTGGGCATGCCAGGACTGGTGAATAATCTCCTCCCAGAGGGTGTTGGATAATCACATGATGAATAAGAACGACTCCACCTGCCACCCAGAGAACGAGGAGCTCCGGTCAGGCATGAGGAGCTCCAACATGGTGATCCTCTCTCTACTCCTCTGCCTGATCCTCCTGGGGACAGGTGAGTCTCTGATCTCTGACTCTGCTCTGCGTGTTCTCTGCTCTGCACATACAGAGAGGGAAGAGATCACCAACACATATCCCCCAACAGGCAGGAGATCCGGATGTGTACACCTGAATTGGGTGACATTTTGCTCTGCGTGTCACATGCAGCCACTTCCTGTCTACATGCACTCCAGCGACGGCATTGGGGGGTGTAGAAGGTGTATCATTGGCATGCATTGGGTGTATAATGAGCATATAGAAAGTCCACCTCCCACAAGGACTATCATTGCACCTGGAAGGCTCGGTTCATGTGAGGCCACAAAATCCCATCCTAGGAAGTACTGCAAAGGACACATCGTTGTGTTCCTCCGGTCCGGTTTAGACCGCTCTTTGGCCTCGAGTCCCATTAGGGCCAGATTTCTGCATCGACAATCCTCTTTTATAACATGACACAAACTAAACGCCAAAGTGGACTAAAAAAAAAAGTGCATGGGAAACACGGCCAAAAAGGTGCACTGGGGTGTGTCAAAATGGCCCTTCTCCAGAAGATGAAGGGCCCATCCCATGGGGCAAGGCTCCTGACATGGGCAGAGTAAACTATGGTCGATCTAGTCAATGTCAGACAGATGTCTCTCCTCACAGGTAGTCGAAGTTGACCAATAAGTACTAGGCTGGGAGGAAGGAACCTGAGGGTCACACATCCTCACCTTAGACTCTATAGCCTTTCCTCTCCACAGGGGTACCACAACTCCCAGCATGGCCTTTCCTCTCCACAGGGATACCACAACTCCCAGCATGGCATTTCCTCTCCACAGGGATACCACAACTCCCAGCATGGCCTTTCCTCTCCACAGGGGTACCACAACTCCCAGCATGGCCTTTCCTCACCTTGCTCCAGGTTAGCGAGTCACTAAGCTGGAGCAAGTATTTCCAGGTCTTCCCAGTGTCTGTGATTTGTTCCGGGCCATTGACTTTGTGGGTATAGAAGTGAGGATGAGGATGACACCCGGCCCATGCCCCCTCGAAAACAAAGGGCAGCTGCCTTATCTCCGGCTTGTCCTCCGGCTTCCCTTCAGCTCCTGATCCCCTTTTGGTGTTCCCGTACATGTGACATGTCATGTTTCCTCTAAGGATCCGGCCATGGAGGACCCACGCTGGGCACGCGGTACGGGGATCTACGGGGGGTCACGGTGGCGGTGAGGGACACCCCCGGGACCGTTGACGCATTCTTCGGAGTTCCCTTTGCGAAGCCTCCAGTTGGCCCGTTGAGATTTGCCAATCCGGAACCGCCTGAAGGAGGCATTGCATAGGGAAGGATTGCATGGGGAGGGATTGTATAGGGAGGGATTGCATGGGGAGGGATTGTATAGGGATGGATAGTATGGGGATGTGTGTATAGGGATGGATGGTATGTGGAGGGATTGCATGGGGAGGGATTGTATGGGGAGGGATTGCATAGGGAGGGATTGTATGGGGAGGGATTGTATTCATGGTATCTGTGACTTCCAGGTGATGGTCTTCATACACGGCGGCGGACTCGTGATCGGAGGGGCGAGTCTGTTTGAAGGATCCGCTCTAAGCGTCTATGAGAACGTGGTGGTTGTGACCGTCCAGTACAGACTGGGAGTACTGGGATTCTTCAGGTACGGGGGGAGGGGGGGGTGTCTGTGGTCCTGGTCTGTCTCGCCGTCTCTGTACTCCTCTATGCACTGCAGGCAGATCATGGCCGGTGGGAGGGGCTGTACATAGCTTCCAGAATACATCACAGAACCCTGCCTCAGTACTCCTCTCTAGAGCCTTCAGCCCTGATGCAAGCAGTGGGCCGGCTCTTGGGAGGAGTTATGCAAATAACACAATGACTTGATGGACGGGTGTCAGTCTGGAGGAGGGGGGCGTTCCCAGGCACACTTTATTTGCATGCAGACCACCCCAGGTAACGCCCACATGTGATGCTGAGCCTCCATGATTGACAGAACTGAACCCCAATGAGTGAAAGGGGCGGGGCCAGGGACAGTATGGCGGAACTAACAATCATCCTTTCCTTTACTTCTTAATTTGGGTTTCAGCACCGGAGATGAGAAGGTTCCGGGGAACTTCGGGGTGCTGGATCAGGTGGCCGCTCTGCGGTGGGTTCAGGAAAACATCCGGGGTTTTGGCGGTGACCCCGAGTCAGTCATCATAATTGGCCAGTCAGCTGGCGCTCTCACCGTTTCCACTTTGGTAAGTCACATGACTGGGGAGGGGGGGCAGTTTTGGTCTTTACAGAGAAATTCCACTCAAAATGGATCGCTCTGCATTCAGTGGGGTGACTCCAGCAGGCAGAACCCTCTTTTGCCAGGATTTGGGTGTCACCAACCAGCGGAAGTCCTCATATAGTCCCGGAAAGCATCCAATAATAGAACGTCTATAACCGAGTGTTTCTGTGTCCTGCACCCCCTGGTGGACGCTCCATGGAAGTGACACAACCAGCTTACAGGTGTCCCCATTGGAAGAATTCCCTTTCTTCCTGTTCTGGTGACAACTGTAACATTTTGGATTTCCCCATTACTGTCAGTTTTGGTGACACCAGGACAGAGAGGGGACTAAAACAGCAGAAGACACCTGACAAGAGGGTCCAGTCCTTCCACCCAAAAATAACACACTTCCTGTACTCCTTATAATGGGAGCCTGTGTGTGATTGGCATCACTCCTCATGGTGCGGTATGGCGATGGCACTGAGCGGCATCACTCCTCATTGTGCGGTGTGGCGATGACACTGAGCGGCATCACTCCCCATGGTGCGGTATGGTGATGGCACTGAGCGGCATCACTCCTCATGGTGCGGTACGGTGATGGCACTGAGCGGCATCACTCCCCATGGTGCGGTATGGCGATGACACTGAGCGGCATCACTCCTCATTGTGCGGTGTGGTGATGACACTGAGCGGCATCACTCCTCATGGTGCGGTATGGTGATGGCACTGAGCGGCATCACTCCTCATTGTGCGGTGTGGTGATGGCACTGAGCGGCATCACTCCTCATTGTGCGTTGTGGTGATGGCACTGAGCGGCATTACTCCCCATGGTGCGGTATGGCGATGGCACTGAGCGGCATACATTAATCCCTCCTGTTGTGCTTGTGTTGGCAGGTTCTGTCCCCCATGTCTGAGGGTCTCTTCCACAGAGCCATCGCTGAGAGCGGAGTGCCGACTCTGCCGGGATTTGCCGCCAACACGCCGGAAGATCTCCTTTTTTATAACAATGTGAGTGTTCCAAAAAAACCTCCCCCCAACCCCCCTTTCCTCCCCCCCCCCCGGGGTGCCCCCCCCCTGTCTCTTTCAAATTGAAAAAGCCAATACCCACCCACTGAGTAGAGGAGTAGAACTGAGAGACAGCTTTCTCTCTCAGGTCCGCTCATCGGTTCAGTGGGCGGGGTTTCAATAGCCAGTCTGCTATTGGCTTTTTCAAATTAAAATAGCCAATAGCAGTCTGGCTATTGCTCCCGGTTGCTTACATTCACCTGCGGAAGCT